TCATTCCGTATTATCTTCCTTTCTATTATTCTTTTTCTTCTTCTTGTAAACGTATTTTGTGTTTTGTTACGTGTGTCATGTATAGTGGGAATTATCTTTTTCTTACATCCTTTATCTTAATGTTTATCATGACTTTTTCATTTTCATTCATAACTTCAAATAATCATTGTTTTGAGTAACATGGCTGGAGTTATCGGAGACAACGAAGAACAACGTGTGATAGACCGAATTCGAGCGAACGCCTATCGCGAAGTGATGGAAGAAGGTGCAACGTTCATCAACCGAAAGTGGATCGCTCAAAAGTTGCATCGCAGTGAAAGATGGGTCACTGACAACTGGAAAAAGGGATACGAACATTGTTTTACAGAATTTGGTAGTGGAAGACCAGGAAAGTTATCTGAAGAAAGTAAAAAGATTGCGATCGAAAACAGTGGAAAAAGGCGACGAAGCTGCAGACGAGTTGCGAAAGAGATCTTTCAGAAGTGCGGAGAGGTCATTAGTCGATCAACAATACAACGATACCGTGTTAAAAAAGGGCTAAAGGCTTTTCATGTGATTCCAAAGCCAATGAAGTCGGCGACGAACATTGAAGATCGGTTATGGTTTTGCGATTATTTGCAGCAGTGGGATGAAAATGACTTTATGCACCTTGCTCCAAGTGATGAGTTCTTCGTTTGGACTGTTCGTCGACCCAATTATCAAACTGATAGAGTATGGTCGTTTTCTCTGGAAGATATCCAAGATGATGAACGTTATCAAGAGCTTTCTGCGTGGCCTAATTGCATTGGAATTTACGTCTGTTTCACTGCTGTCAAATTGATGTGGGTAATCAAGGATGATGGTGCATCATGGGATGGAGCGTATTATCGTCCGTCTATTCTGACAGAAAATGTCATTCCATTTCTTTCTGATCCCAAAAATGTATTAGATCCGTCAGAGGTAGTTTATCTTCATGACAATGCTTCGTGTCACAAAGCAAACGCCACTCAAGCATTACTCAAAGATTCCGGAGTTGATTTCTTTGACCGGACACAATGGCCAGGAAATTCTCCCAATCTAAACGTAGCAGAAGATGTTGGATCAATCCTCATGGATAAGGTGGAAAGCTTGATGATCGAGGAGCACGGTGCTAATCAAAATTCTAAAGTGGTTCTGCTTCAACATCTTCAAAATGTTCTTCATGAGCTTGAAAATGAAACAGAACTTTTCGAGAATCTATTGAAATCGTATCCTCGACGATTAAAAGCTGTACGTGAAGCCAATGGGGGTCACACAAAATACTGATGTATTGTTTCTTTTCAGACCAAATAAAGGTTCCAGCAGAGACACTACTCAAAACTATTCCACTAGTAATTAATTTTGTAGTCTTCTATCAAAAAGTTATGCTGAATCCTATATTTTGACGATTGAGTATTTGTACGGATTCACTTCCATATTCGCAATTTCAAACGGTAGCCTTATCTATCGAAATAATGACTGTACCTCTGGATCCAGTTTTTCACGGGCTTTAATCTGGTATAAAATTCATTAGGTACTCAACTCGAAATCATAGTGTTACCCCCCTAGCAAAAGGTTATGCACAACCCGATATAAAGTAACAAAATAATTACTTTGTATCATGAATAGACGATTGTGTCTATCTCGGAAGAACTGTAAACAAAAGAATTCATCGAAGTATTGTTCAAACTATTGTTAGATTTTTTTAATTAAAATGCTAACCACATTTATTTTTGAATAACTTTCGATTATATACAACTATTAGAATCGAATTTTCATCACTAGATAGATCGATTTTGAGGACATCAAACTGTGTAATATTCATTAGATTCTAATGTTCTTCATGCGTATTTGTAGGTAAGAGAGCCATGTTTTCCCATAAAATTCCCAGATTTCAGAAAGCTTCCCTTAAAACATCAATCCAGAGTAAAGATAAAAAAATCGAACAATTGTATATAAGTAATAGAACACTCTTCGTGCTATATTTTGGCTTGATTTAAGCCTAGATTTTCTACGAAAACTTGTATAAATCGGCAACGGAAAACATATCCATTTTGAAAATATTTATAAAGAATTTCTTTGAAATAGATGAATGTTAGACAAATAGTCATCTCTAAAATTGCTTCATTTAATGACAAATACTCAACCTAAATAGCTATGAACGATCGAAAACTATTCAAAAAATGGTGATTGATATTTTAATAAAAATTTGACAATAGAGTTATACTATGATTAATAATTTTCAAATAGAAAAACAATCAATGTAGATGAAAAAATTTCTTGTATTAAAAACAAACTATTTAACATCTACAAAAACAAATGCACAGATGTTTTGTGTCGGTGTACTTCTATAGTGACTTATTTTTCATTATTTTTATGTTTTTGTTGATATTTTACGTACGTGTTTTTCATCTTATATATACAGAAGATACATAAATATAAGAGATATATCTCTATATGTCATATATTTGAATTTGAATAAGTTTCCAGAAAATCTATAAAAGTCTAAAAAGACAGATAATGAGTTTTGTTATACTAATCATTCATTATCGCATGTATTAATTTGATCATCGTATTAGAGGCTGAAGTGAATAAGAAAATCTCCATTCGAGTTTGATTAGATTCGGTTCAGGCTATTACTGACCGAATGGAAAGTAGTCGAAAAAACATGATTAAAAGCTGATTTACAACAAAATATAGATAGAGGTCATTTGACACTCGGTATTTTATTAAAAGCAACGCATGTTGCTTTAATATACGCACATGATTACTGAATATTACAAGACTCACTTAAGTAAACGGTGTCTAAATTGAATTATACATCTGTGATATACTATTAACTTTCCGCATCTAAAATTGCCTATTGTATATAAACTGCTATTGTTTTCTTTTGCATATATGCCATGAAATATTAATGTATTAACTTAATCAGTGTCGATTTCACCACGAAACATAAGAATTCAAACTTGTTCAAGAAAACTTTTTATGCCTTATTATGAAAGTTTTCAGTGATTTTTGTCATGAATATTCCATAATGACCAACTTTTATATCCATGTTTCTCGTTTTATCCTGCTTAATTGTTACTGAAGTGCTCCTTTAATACTGCGAGTTGCAGATGATTATTAAAAAAATACTTAAAAAAATTGATGATTATGCTACTTTTTTTTTTACTGAATGATAGATGATCCACATATTTTTGTTCTTCATCAAGCTGTAATGAAATATTTTTCAACTTCGTTCTTTTCTACCGTTCCTATGATTTTTCTTGCGGATCGATTATGTGCTTTAGAGAGTGAAGCGGATATAGACATCTTCATTTGATTTGATTCGATTTTGGTCTTTGCATTATAGTGACTCATCATCTATTTGATCGAGTGTCATATATGTAAATTGTGTATTGTATGGACTTTTTTTAACGATATTGTTCTCCCCTTCTTTCATATAGCTTTGATAGCAACTTCGATTAAATTAAATAAAAATGATAAAACAAGTGATGTACTTGAAGTTGATCTTCGCGAAAATAATGATTTTTGTATTTCGATAGTCAATCGAATATTTTCGAGAACACTTCGACTCAGGTGAATGAATGCAACATCGAGTCCGATTAGATCTGATCATATCCGAATAGTCGACAAAATTCGATGAGAATTCAGACGGCTAAATCACTAATGAATTCGATGGCCGGGTTAGGATCGCATTCCTATAGAATCATACCAATCATTTTCAATTTTCGACCAGTCTTGTTTGTTCTGATTAGGGGTGTGCCATTAGAACTCTACAAGAATACATTCAATCAGACGCTATTTAATAGGACAGCGTTTTTTGTTTTATCCTATTGTACGCTCATGGAAGATTTTATAAATTGTGTTTGTTTATGAACAAGATTATTAGTTGAATAAAATGAAAAGATCTTTTTCAAATTTAATATTTGTAAGCAAGTCATATCATTTCTAAAGACTGATACTATTCAACTAGACACATCTGAAAAACCCTCCGTTTCAGAAATTTTTACCAAATAGTTATTTTTCCTACTGAGCAAGTAGAGCTTGCTTAAAAAATCTTCACTCTCTTATAATCGTATCGATAGAACATCGGCACCAACACCCTGGATGTATTGAAGAGAAGACCTACACTCACTTACAGTCTCAACGATTGTGATACTGTAAAATACTTTTAGACAGTTTTAGGTATCGATATGAATAAACATATCCTATTAGAGTTTCAAAATTATCCACTATTTTCTTAAAAATAATTCCGTTCTCAAGACATTAAGTCGCATTAAAGAAAATAGTTGACCCCTAGTTGTGACAGTACGGCATCGAAACGTCAAAATATTAGCTCATATTTTTCAGTGATATCTTACTGATGGTTTATCATAGGTGAAGAATCTGAACACGACGTCAGATTTTTGATTTTTTTGAATATTTTCTTTATGAATTATTGATTAATTTTAGTATCTTTCATAGCACTTGACGTCGTATACATTCAAAATTGTAGAACTCGAAGATTTAGTTCGAATGAAAAACTAACTTTTTCAATAGCTATATTTACTTCCAATATTGTATTGTTCAACTGTTGGATATAATAGTTGCAATCGTTCCTCATATTTTCTATAGAAATTGACCAGAGAACTATCATAGACGAATAATCTGAAGTCTATATCAGGTTTCGATTTTTTTAAATATTCTATAATATGAATTACCAAACAGTTTTTTTTATGATATTCAGATAAAAAGATTACTATACGATGTATTCTCATTTACATGTAATAAGATGCCTAATGCATCGACTAGAGTCGAGCTGATCATGATTATCGATTAGTTCTTAAATTCTGAACACATTGTTATATGATCTAAAGAGTTAAGCAAATTATGCTGGTCTTTTTTCTAGCATGTTTTATTTCGAATCTATTTGTTTGATTCTAGATTTTTTTGTCTAAGTTTCACAGACATATCATCTGTTTCTATTTCTCCAGAAGTCTGTTTAATATCTGTAATCAATTATGACTACATTACCATCTGCTGCGTCAACCGATTTGACTTTGCCCATTGATGACAATAGTGAATTGGGTGATTTTGATACTGTAATGAAAGAAAATCCGTCGACTGATATTAATCAATACAATCGAGCACCAACTTCTTGCTCACTTGAACATGATCTACATCGATTAGACTTAAGCGATAGTCCAAAAGTAATAGAAAATATAAAAGTGAAACGATCGAATTCTTTACCGACGATTTTGTTTGATCCGATCGATAGATCTTCATCGCCATTCAACCATCAGAGATTACCTGTAAACTATATAAATGATGATCATGGTGTAAAATTTTATTTGTTTCCATCATCGACCCATGATGTAGTAGCTGGTCAACCATCACCTCTTTGTGATCAATGCTTGCCGAGAGAGGATAAGCAACCAATCGAATCTCAGTCACTCATCGTCTTGAATCAGATAAAGTATTTACGGAGCGCATTACGAGAAAAGAACAACAGGTTGCTTGTTTTTTGTTTTTCAGAGTTTCCCAACCACTTCTGACTAAATCAGTGGGAACGTTCTCTGGATCCGGTAGCGAAGCTTCCATCTCATATGGAGTCGATTGGAGCGAACGTGCTCATCCCACATCTCACTGTTGGTTTCCCTTCATATGCAAGGATCCATCGACGGATCAATCATGTGCCCACGTATCTTGTATAGGTGTGAAACCAAGCTATCAATCTGAACTTGTACAATGTGGATCATGTGATTTGGTTGCACATTCGTATCACTTGAAAGATTCACGGGTAATCGGAGCCAATTTTCTTCCACCCTGTCGTCCGTCCTTTGTCGACAACACAACACTTGGAAATTCACTTCCCGAGAGCGAAAATAATCCATCGAAATACGATGAGCATTTTTGGTCTCATGTGAGCGCACTTCCGAAACCATGCATGTACTGCCAACAGATATCAACGACAAAAATCCTATTCAAAAGTAGAAGTGGTCGATTATCGGGGGCGTCTGCTTTAGATATCATCGGTCAGGCCACGTCGGCTATGAACTCTATATCGAGCAATTGCAGTTTAAATGTATCTGGATCTTCTGAAGGCCTCGCTTGTTTATGGTGTTTACGAAGCTATCATCGACCGTGTTGGAAAAGTCTTGCTGATGAAGATAAAAATACTCAATGTGACTATGGAATATTTCGGTAAGTTTTTAATGATGGTTATGCAGGTCAAATAAAAAGAAACCTTGCATGTTTGTAATGCCTACGAGAATACTCGGTCATACTTCTTGTTAGATTTATCATTATCTTGACACTTTTCTACTACTGTTCATTAATGATTATTACTTAAGTTTGATTTGATCGTAGGATCAATGGATATTGAAACATGCTTACAAATATGCAAAGTTCGAAATATATTCAAAAGAAAATCCTTTTCGTTTTTTGAGTTCATCGAGAAATTGTTTAGAATGTTTTGATCGTTGTCTTTCTTCAACTCTAATCACTCGTTGAGATCAATATGTTGATTTTCTTCGATAGAAATATTATTGTTCGACCGCAGTGGCTCAGTCGTTCCAGCGAATCTCCAACTGATTTCAAAGCTCGTTTGTCTTTGCATGCGACTAATAGCAACTTTGAATCAAACTCTTTTCCGTATACACCCGTTATTGTATTCATAAATAAACGTTCTGGTGGCCAACAAGGAGAAAAAATTTATCGGAAACTATTACGAAAACTCAATCCACGTCAAGTATTTTTTCTAGAAGACAATGCTACAATCACACATGCTCTTAACATCTACTCGTCGCTACCTAATATCCGTTTTTGCGTATGTGGAGGTGATGGAACCGTGGGTTGGATCCTTGGCCGTCTAGCTGAGGCTTATCCATCGAAAAATAATCCGCCAGTAAGCATTTGTCCTTTAGGAACGGGTAATGATCTTTCACGCGTATTAGCTTGGGGCGAACAATACGATTCAAAACGTCTTTTTGATATGCTCGTACAAATTCCACAAGCTAAAGTAGTTGCACTCGACCGTTGGGAAGTTCAGCTTGAACAACTCGACGTAACAACATTGTCTTCACAGACACAAGCAAAGCAAAAGAAAGGATTTCAAATCGGTCATCCATTTCAAGTGCTAGTCAAGCATCCGAAATTTGTTCGCGAAAAAAAGCAAGCCTCCTATGAACATCATCAGAAGTTACCAAATACACACTTTATCAATTACATGAGTTTCGGTTTAGACGCAGCCATTACACTAGATTTTCATGATAAACGCACACGTGATCCATCGAAATTTTCGTCACCATGGAAGAATAAGCTCATGTATGTAAATAGAAGTTGCAAATATTTCAGTGATTTTGCTCAAGCAAATATGTGGAATCTTGGCTCTTATATTCGTTTGATATGCGATGGTCGTGATCTAACTAATGCTATAGGTGATTGCCATACATTAGTCGTACTTAACATTCCAGGTTATGCAGCCGGTACGAATCCGTGGGGAAAATCTTCATCGACAAACTCAGTTTTCTTCTATGGTGATCAATCGTCGATCTTTCAAAGAGATAATGATTCTGCCGATGCCAAGGTAATAAGGGCAGTTAATGTATTCGGTTCATTAGCTGCTACACGCGAAGCTATTAAATCTGTTACTTTGAATGAAGATGATATGCATCAAATGGCTAGCTCATCGACAACAGCAATCTCAACTGTTTGTGTCGAACAACAAGATTTTGGCGATCAAAAACTCGAAATTGTTGGCTTGAATACTACACATATGGCTACAATTCATATGGGTTTTACTGGCAATCGGATCACTCAATGTAATCAATTGCGAATAGAACTGCGCAGTCCAATGACGGCACAAATGGATGGTGAACCATTCTATCTTCCTGCTTCAGTAGCTGTCAACATTAATCATGCTGGCCAAGTACTTGTGTTAAAAAATCAGAACGAATAGATAAAAATATTAACTTTTGTGCGTGGTTGCAGTGCATACACTAAATCTAGCACTATTTTCGATTGATAAAATAAAAACATGTTGAACTTTGAATGAAGTTCATCGCTGAGTATCAACGATGTCGATTGTTACTTTTTTCTCCAGAAGATTTTTTAACAATGGTGTCAACACCCTGACTGAGAAGAAAATCGGCTTGAATAAGTCATCGCCTTTAAGGTCTTATTTCTGCTCAACATGAAGGACTTTGAGAGTAAAATACCTGTGCAATATTTCAGGCTCATAGTACAGTTTTCTTGAGCTATAGTCATTTTTGATGAACCTTTTAGTTGTAGCGAGCTATTTTGTTTCCAAGTTTTAGCAACAATAGATCTGTCTTTTGCAACTTATTAGATTTATCAAAGAAAGCAATAAATCCTTCTCTTAGCATAGACACAAGAATGAAGTCGTTTCATGAATCTAATATCTTGAGGAAGTATTTTATGGTTAATTTGATAGAAGTCGTGTCGAAAATATTGAAAATCTTTATTATATGATGATTTTTGGAATACCCTGTATTGTCAATATTTTCTTTGATCACAGTTGAACACAACAAGTCTACTTCAGTATAAATCCTATAGGAAAGAGGACAATGGGTTCTATTTTATATACAACAAACGGAAGACAGGAAACGACGTAAACCATCACAATTATTGTTGATAATCATATCGATAGTTTCAACATTTTCGATCACAATCAAGACTAACTTCTCTGGATAATTTTTACACGCTAATGTCAAAGTTTAGCCTTCTATCGAATACAGCCATCGTTGAATTATATGAGCATATTAAATTTAAGAATAAATAAACTTTGAAAAATGTCTCGATTTTTCGATCCTCTCTCACATATTCTATTAAATGCCTAACAGATCTAAATACTGTTATTTGTACACGTTGTAGATATATGATTATACTAATAGTGAAAATGTAAAACTGTGCTAGTAATCAAACAATGAGAATGAGATTACCAGTTACATCTATCTATGTATTCAATAGAATATTAGTTGAAACTGACAAGCACGACAAGAGTCAATAATGTCAAAAACGAGTAACTAGTGGTGGTGTTGGAAATGGGACTGATATTGGTGGTTTGAATTTTTCATCCAATAATTTTTTCTTTTCTTGATATTCAAGTATTGCCAATTGTTTCCAACTATCTATAAGTATTTGTGCACTGTATTCGATCTCTTCTTGATCTTTCATGGAATCGAGTAAGCCACGATGTCTACCCATGCACATAACAAGTATGATCACAACTTTGCTTGGTGAGCTGAGAACAGAGACAAGACTCGGCATTCCTTTCGCCAATCCCATTGAAAGGCCACATCCACCAAAAGCACTCATCACTTCGAATATCACACGGAGTACTGTAATAGTTGGATCATTAGGTGTCATACGAGGCGATTCAAAACTGCAAATAAGAAAGATAAAAATAAATAGCCATGCTCGAGTCGATATAAGAAGACTGAAGAAACTGAGAATGACATGTCGACAGAAAATGATCAAAAAGAGTTTCATACGAAGTAGAGATATATGAATATTGCTTTGATTGAATTCTTCATTTCGATTTCTTATATAACCCAGATCAGCGGATACAATACTCAAACGATGTTGATTTCGTCTGTCATTCAGTTCCTCAAGAGCTGCTTCAACACGATTGAGAGAAATCGTTGAAGCAAAATATCTATTTGCTTGAGCTTTAGTAATCGAGCCTTTTCGCAAAAGATAATTTTGCATTCGACTAAATGGTAAGAAAACTTTAAAGTTGGCATTTTGGCTACCATTCGATACGTTATTTTCTAATGTTTGTTGCGTTTGCAAAAGAATCCATTCCATTTCAAATGGTGTTTCATCAATTGCACACAACTAAAAAGGAGAAAATGGTTATGTGTTATGTGTCGGAAAAAATTGTCGTGACACTTCGAAAGAATAAAAATGTCAATGCAACAGGGTAGTTTCAATCGTGAAAAAGAACGACATTTTCGCCTTATTCATTAGTACTATCAGGTCAAGTTTAACCCATCTGAGTACAAAGATCTATGAAAAATGACCAACAACTATACGTTCCTCTGCTGAAGAGCGAACTTATTCGAAGCTAACAAAGAATACAATTCAATAGAAAAATATTGACAGGCAAATTAAGGGTTGTTACTAATGTCGGATTTATTTTTAACGATAACAACAATCATTTTTTATGTGTAGAATTCATTATTTTCGAATAGTTTTCAGATTGATACTATTTTCGTTACTGATTGTCATTAGTTTATAGAGCAACTTCAAGTAAAACTAAACCAAATTTAGTACAAAATCGTCCTTTTCCTATGGAAGGTTATCATTTTTTTAATAAAATTCTGTTAATATGGTGTCAAATAGATAATAAGATCATATGAAAATTCTCTATTGTTTTCCATCCGTAAAAGTTCAACTGTAATTCATAATCATATTTGACAAAAGAACAATAAACGTACCATTTGAGGCTTGATACCCATCAAGAGAATAAAAATAATCAAAGTTCCCGCAGAAAGTACGCTTATATCGATTGTTGCATAACCTTTCACAACAAAAACAAAAATAAGTGTATATTTTTTCAATAAAATATACTAATCACTCAGTACCTCCAAAACGAGTGTTCACTGTCTGAAGCATAAATATCATGAATCGTTGACCTTGGCTATATATCACCAATGCATCGTTATGAAAATCGTTCACCAAACACACTGCTACACCAACTGAAATAATGAAAAAAACAATAAGTTAAACTATTCGACAATATGATCACTGACGTATCTGTAACAAAACGGTAATAGTAACATAGAGTCGTGTTTGAACAGATGGATATATCACAGTAGAGAGCCGATGATTATTCAATAAGATATAATCAAAATAGATCTTATGTCGCCAACTGAAAATAGTAATATTTTAATTAGCTATTTTAAAATTTAATGTGAAGGAGGAATCAGTAAAAATACTTACGGTACCATATATTTGAGTAATTCGACAATTCCATGAAGAATGGCCGGAAATAAAGATGTACCAGACATGACAATAAGCATGATGGTTATGTTCATGAAGACATCCGTGACAAAACGTGACATACCGCCTTTCCTAGAAACACTTTTCTTTGATACAAAAGATCTGTCAACAAATATAAATTTCTGACAAAAAAAATTATTCAAGCTCTATCACTTTTGAAACTATGTATATAGACACATGGAATAAAATATTAAATACGATACCATAGTGAAAGGCCATTTTGATTGAAACCGGTCAGAGTGATGACAATTGAAGCATAGAACGGATCCACTGTTCTATTGTCTTGACGTAAAAATTGTGGATCATAATGATATTTAAGCCACATACTAATGGCAAGAAATGAGATAAGATAAATAGTGAAACAAGTCGAAAGAATGAGAATAATTAGGATGATATATGCTGTAGTACGAAGATCTTTTGGACTAGGCAGTAATCGAAGACGTTGGGCCAATATGGGATCAGTAGAATTGATTCGAACAAGTTTTGTAATTGGTAAGCTATTGTCATTGATAGTCGATGAAAGTGTTTCTTCATCAGGTGTTATTTCGCGTTTGACTCGATAAATCTTGATGAAAATAGCAGGAAGTGTACTGACCGTAATGCCTGTATGATAAACACACAGAAAAATCATAGATGATCTGTTTTGATTAAAAGTTTCGTTTCTTTTCTATCATTTTTGTCCTATTACCTGAAATTACAGTAAAAATAAGTAATACAATTTGTGATGCTAGACTGTATGATCCAAAATCGTAAGTTTCCAATCCACATGTGAATACACATGTTGCACTCGAAAACCAACAATCGAGATAGGATACACGTTGTTGTTCAATGTTCCAAATGATGACGCCGCACAAAAGTGTATTGCAGAAAAATACCGATAGATGTATGTAAAAATAATGTCGCATACGCCATTCATAATTATCCCAAAATTTTCTCCATTTTGAACACCAAATGCCTAATGGAATGACGGCATCAGCAGTAGCATTGATCATATTGATCTCTGCTTGAACCATACTGCGTTCAGTTTCAGTCACAGATGTAACCGATGGTTTTCGATCAAAACCGAAATTATTCATCATTCAGATAATGACTTTTTGTTTGTCTAACTTATGTCGTTATCGCAGTAGCGGAAACTTGAAATGAAATATTTTACTTTTCACCTTCAATTGCTTCCTTAGTGATTCTTTTATTTACCTTGATTCTCTTTTCTAAACGTAATTTACTCTTACAATAATAAATCACTTCTGCATTCTATCATTATTTTTTAGAAAAACAAATACAAACACACTTCACAGTATTTGCGTGCAATATTTTTTCACCTAAGGTTATATACTAACAACATTCATGATCAGCTGAAATACGCAATTCATATTCATTTTTTTTCATCTAATTAAGAAAACTTGATTATTATTGTGAATGAATAACAAATCTTGTTTTTGCTTAGTGATACGATTGTAGAATTATAATAAACTCTTTGCTTCAAGTCTAATAACATTCGCGATCCTGAATTTATTATTCAACAAAGTGTTGAGAAAGAACAACAGAATTCATTACAGGTTATTAGAAGGGTCATAACTAATTAATATTTTTAGTATATTACTTTTTCTTGTTTCTTTACATTTTGCTACAATGACAATCATTTGATGAAGACAGTCTCTCACGCTTTTACCTTTAGAAAATAAATGTAGCACGAGTTAAATTGAATTAGAATGATTTTACAAATGAACATGTTCGATTAAAAAAATAACGATGTTGCCAGTCTAAATTCATATGACTACATCATGTCATTTGATAGACAAATTCATAACTATAGTGACTGTAAATTCATTTTGCAAAATTTTTTCACTTAAACACATGTATAAACAAAGAATTTTTTTTCGAACACTCTCCACTGATTGTTGAACACACAATTACACATATACGAATATGTCT